CAAGACAGAGTGCCCTTTACATTTCCCCTTGTTTTTTTTTAGAAGGAGTCTTTCACCATAGCCCCCACAGCTGAGAATTTGCTTAGTTATACCTGAAGCCAGCACATCTCAGAGCCCAAGGCCCATGGCCTATTCCCAAGGGTTCTTTAATCAGCAAGTGGTGAACCTGCCAGAACTGGGTCCTTGCCTTCAGGCAGTGGTTCCCCTTTGGCCTATTCTGTCTCTAGAAATGTCTCCCATGAGCTACAGCCTCATGATTGCCTTGTGCCCTATCCTAGTGTGGCTGAGCTGGTATCCAACATGTAAGGCAAAGTCCTCTTTGCTCTTCACTGTCCTTTTTTCAAACAGAAGGAAGGGACCTCTTCTATTGCTTTGAGCTGCACTGCCTGGGGTTGAGGGAGGGGTGGTGCAAGCACTCCCTTAGCCACTCTGTCTAGTGTCTCTTAGGTTATGTGCCACCCTAGTCCACTGTCTCTAAGCCCAGCCCAGCACTAGGCATTGCCTATGAATTGCAGTCCTTGTGTCCTAGACAACCTTTCAAGTTTACCTTGGACCTTAGAGCATTTTGGCCTGTGCTAGTGAGGCTTGTTGAGAAACTCAAGTTCCACCTGCTGGGATGGGTGATTCCCCTCTGGCTGAGTCTGGTCCAAATGCTCCCTTTGTGTGTAGGTGCTAGCTGAGCCCAGCATGGCTTTGCTGTCCAATGTAACAGGACAGCACTGAGATCAAAGTGAAGTCCCATGATCGCTGTACTCTCCCTCTCCCAAGTGCACAGATTTCTCCACACCATGCAGCCACTGCCAGGGGATGGGGGAGAGGTGGCACAAGCACTTCATTAGTTGCCCTGGCTGGTTTGTGTCTCAGTAGTTCATGTGATATGGTTTAGCTTTGTGTCCCCACCCACGTCTCACGTCAGATCGTAATTTCCACGTGTTGGGTAGGGACCTGGTAGGAGGGGATTGGATCATGGGAGCAGATTTCCCCCTTGCTGTTTTCGTGATGTGAGTGAGTTCTCATGAGATCTTGTTGTTTAAAAGTGTGTAGCACTTCCCCTTTGCTGTCTCTGCTGCTGCCATGTGAAGATGTGCTTGCTTCCCTGAACCCTTCCACCATGATTGTAAGTTTCCTGAGGCCTCCCTACCCATGCCTCCTGTACAGCCTGTGGAACTGTGGGTCAATTAAGCTTTTTTTCTTTATAAGTTACCCAGTCTCAGGTATTTCTTTAAAGCAGTGTAAGAACAGACTAATACATCGTGTGCCCCTGCCAAGTCCACTGGCTCTGAACCCAGCTCAGCACTGGGACTTGCCTAGGGATTGCAGTCCTTGTCACCTAGATTTCTCTTTAAGTTTACTTAGGGTCCCACTTTAGCCTGCAGTGGTGAGGCTTGCTGGAACTCTGACTCCATCTGCTGGGATGGGTGATTCTCATCTGGCTAGGCCTGATCCAAATGCTCCTTCCCTGGGTGGGTGTCCGCTGGGTGCCATCCTGTTAATGCTTTCTGCTGTGACAGGGAAGCATTGAGTTCAGTTTAGTGTCCCCCAGTCATTGCACTCCCCCTGTCCCAGGTGCATAGATTCTTCATACCAGGTGGCCACTGTCACGAGATGGGGGAGGGGTGGCGTTGGCACTTCAAGACCATCTTTCCTACCCCCTTTCAGTGCCTCTTTCAGTGATACGAAGTTAAAACCAGGTACTGTGAGTGTTGGTTTTTGGTTGTTGTGTCAGTGCTTTTTGTGTGTAGTTAGTTAAAATACGGTGTTTCTGTGGGGGTAACAAATTGTGTAGGCTTCTATTTGACCATCTTGCTGTGTCCCACCAGCATTTCTTAAAATACTCTTTTAGCCCACTTTCCTTTTCCTTTCCTTCTGAAACTCCAGAGATAAAAATGTTGGACCTTTTTCCATTGTCGCACAGGTGCTCTGTTCATTTTTTTCCGGTGTATCTTTTCTCTCTTGTTAAAATTGGGTAAATTTTATTGATGTGTTCTAAAGTTTATGGATTCTCTCCTTTGTCATTTCTGCCTCATTATCGAGCCCCGAATTAAAACAAATTCTGCTGTTGTGTTTTTCCTTTTTCTTTGTTTTATTAGAATTTATAATTATTTGTTGAAGCATTTTTATCATGGCTGCTTTAAAATCCTTGTCAGAGAATTCTAACATCTGTTTCATCTCAGTGTTGCTGTCAGTTGTCTTTTCTCATTCAAGATGTGATTTTCCTGTTTCTTGGTATGATGAGTGTTCTGGACATTTTGGCTATTCTGTTTGATAACTTCTGAGTCCTGTTTAGATCTTCCATCTTCCATTTTAGAAGGCAGTCACCCTGTTTTAGTATGCAGGTCCTGGCCTACATTTGTGGGTTGTGATTCCAAAGATAATTGAATCTTTAAGACTGTTTGCTGTATCTCATGCCATTGATGCTCCCACTGGTCCCTGCTGGTGCTGGCGAGGGGGTGGAAATAGCTTCACACAGGCCAGGACACCTTGCCCCTCTAGATGGGGAAGACTGTCTCCTGACCGTAGAAGAGTCAGTGAGGCTTTCTGTGTCCAGCTGCTTGTTGTGTTGCAATCTCCCTTAATGGTGCTGTCCAGTGCTGCTTGCTGGGATGGAGTGTCTTTGGCACCTAGGAACACAGCAACTTCCCAAGCTAGGTCACTTGTGATGAGCTCACCTTGCCTGTGGGGTCCTAGAACACCTTCCAGGCTGGCTACTTATTGTGGGAAGATCTTCTTGCCTGTGCTGCAGGTCTCTCTGGTGTCTCTAGGTCCTTAGGGTCAAACCCTGGATGCTTTCTGTGGTAGAATTCCCCTTGTTAGAGCTGCCCTTCTCCACCCTCCCCAGTGTGATTCTCAGTGGAGGTTAATACTTTTTCCCAGCTGGGAGCAGAGTGCTTCCCCTAGCCACTTACTGTCTGCAGGAATTCCCATCAGTCCCTCTTACGTGGCTCATATATATTGTCAGTAGGATTCCAGTTTGATTCAGGGGAGGAATGAGCCACCTTCTCTTGCTTGGTCAAGCGTCAGGAAATGCCAGGCCTGGGTCGCTTTCTGCTTTCGGGAGGGGGATCCTAAGGCACTATGCTGCTCATACAGTCCTAGCTGATCCCTTACCATTCCACCATTCTCTTTACACCTTTCAGAATCCTGATTTGGCTGACTTTTGTGTTATTTCCAGGGTTTATAGTTGTACTTAGCATGGAGGAGCAGGGAAAAGTGAGTCTCTGCCATTTTATTCAGAATTATGTATTTGTTGCGTAGCTTTCATTACCTTTCTGAATTTGTTTTCATTTCCCTTGTCTTGTAAAGTTTTGAGAGTGATCCTGCAATCAAGCAATATCCTCGTGCTCTTGAGTACGGATGTACAGTGCTCTGCTGTGTCTGGCCAAGGTCAAAGTCCCAGTAGGCTGAATTAATTTTGCTGGTGTGGAGTCATGTTATTCCAATTAATATAAAACAAAAGTTTAATTCCATGTGCACAGGGAATAAAGACAGGGAGCTGCTGCTGCCCCTCTGTGTGTGATGCACCGGGCTGGCACTGCCCTTTTCTCTCTGGCTGTGTGTCTGTGGTCAGTGCTTGTCCTGGCTGATGGGGAGGGCTCTGGCCGTCTGGACTCCCAGTTTCATTCCCTTGAAGCAGCGCCCAGGACCCTCAGTCAAGGAACTATCTTTGGATTGTCTAGAGGTAATTCCTGTACTTTAGGCACTGAAAAGGAATGGAAAAAGTGTGGAAATCACTTTAAGATTAGTGAGTATTCGTAGAGAAGCAGATGAGATCTCTACTGGATGGCTGTTTTTCCTTTGAAAAAGGGTGCACACATCGCCTTCTGCTTGGAAAGATAAACCAGAACCAAATTCGTCTTGTCAGGCAAGATGTGTTCCATTGGTAAGACTGATTCCATTATATACTAAATGGCAAAAGAAATAATTTAATTCCTGCTCCCTGTCTTAGATCCTTTCTCTAATGCGAAGAGGACAGTGAGACAAGAGATGCCTTGTTTGCCTTTAGGCCGTAGAATGGTTTGGGTTAAGCAAGGCAGTGTTGGGTCATTTCAGTTTTGCGTTTTACCTAGAATTGGAATGTTGTACTTAATTATCTGACACAAGAAGCTGTTGATCGTTTCTGCTTTGCAGGAGTCAGTGGAATTGAAGTTTACTTAAAGAAGGAACTTGAAATATTGATTCTGGTTCTCTCCATTTAATGATTGAAGAATTAATGAATTCCTGGTTAAGTTCCCATGTTTTTTTCTGTTTTATGTAGGGCTCATATTTTCATTGAGTACATGAAAATGAATTTGATGCTGATAGATGTGGGAACATGTAATCAATTTAAGTATTTTAAACTAATACTTGATTGTCCTTTATGAAGAAATGCTAATCATTAGCTACTTTTAAGCTCTTTAAACATTTACTAAATTTCTAGTAGTGTCTTTTGAAAATCTTAAGTGCCATTTGATTGACTCACTGGGGCTCACACTTCTCTGTGGAGGTGGTCACATTGGCGAGAGAAACTCTACCTCGTGGTCACGGACCCGGGTTTGAGTGCACTACGTGTGCTTGTATCCTGGCCGTACCATTTACAAACTTTGGGACTTGGGCAAGTTAACTTACCTCTGGTGTCTCAAATTCCTTATATGCTTACTGGGGAAATACAGTACTACTGTATGAGGTATCGTGAGTACTCAGTGGAACAATATATGCAAAGCATTTAGAACAATATGTTGCTTATGGCAAACATGTAATAGCTGTTAGCTTTTCTTGTGGTGGATGGTTACTGTTATTATGAAACCAAAAGAAAGTAGATATGACTATGGGAATTAGAATGCACACTTAAAAATAGAACTACCTTGGCATTGGTATCTATCACCAGGGTCTTGAATACCCTGTCCTAGTAATAAAAATGCCGTATGCTCATATTTAGCGTGAGGCATCGTTACCCTGTTTGAGTGAACAGTGCTTTGCTTCTGCCACTTCTGATCACCCCCTCTTCCTTATTTAATCCCAAGGGTGGGAATTTTCCTCAGCTTCTCATTATTACGTTCTTCGTGGCAGTCAAATTGGAGACAAGCTATAGAAGACACAAATCCCCAGCTAATCTGTTTCCAAAAGGTATGGACTTAAAAATAGTGTGCATTTGTGTTGGTTAATTTTGTTGTACTTTGTTATTCAGAGAAGATGATGTTAATACCAAATGAGTAATAAAAAATCAATTAAAATCCTTTAGGGAAATTAAAGTGCTGACAAATTCATAATAGCTTTTCTGTTGTTAAATCAGATTGACATGGATTAACAATTGGTGGTGGACAGAAATTTGCTGAATTTACTGAAGTATATTCCCATTAAAATGACAGCTGTGTCTAAGAGCCTGCACCAGGGCATTTAGTTCCAGGACCCGAGTGTGAAGGAGAGAGCTAATCAAATAAGACAAGTTGTACTTAATTTTAATTAAGTAAATTCCCCGTCACGTTTTAATCACATAAACTCAGTCATGGGTACTGCAGGAGCAAGAGGCCAGCCATTTTATTGTCTAACTCTGATTGCTTTTTCAAACTTATTTATTAAAAAAAAATGTACAGGCTTAATTTTGGTAGTTGATTGTGCATTCTGAATTCATCTCTTTATTGAGAGTAGTTTGTCAATCATCTTTTCATTATTAGAAAAAATTTCCCACAAATCCCCACAAATCATTTTTATAAAAATATATTTAAAATTATATAATACAATTTGCTATGTAAAATGTAATTTCATGCAAGGGACTTATGTCAGTGAAGTTGTTTAGTTGCTGAAATAATAATAGTTTAAAAATATGAATTTTGAAGACCATTAAAACCTTTTTATTTTGATGTGTGTTTGTTCTTGGATTTTTCTTGGTCAGTGTGGGCGTAAATGGGATTCTCATCTTTGTTAGTTTGTTTGATTCTTGCTTCCCTAGGGAGTCAGGTGCAGAAGGGTAGCACAGCATCAAGATTTTGTTACGCTTGTGGAATATAACCAGGTGCTATAGCATTTATAGTAATCAGATTTTCTTCTACCTATATGTACAGTGTGTATAGCCTAAAATTATTTTTTGGTTGATGTAAATAGAAACAAAATTTATGAATTTTGCAGCAGCCTATGAAATTTGATTCAATAAACAGCTTTTATTTATTGCTGTTTGCAAAATGCTGTGCTCAGCACAAGAAAGATACAAAAATAGCTTGTATTTCCAGCGCTTTGGGGGTTTGAGGTGGAAGGATCATTTGAGGTGGAAGGATCATATGAGGTCAGGAGTTTGAGACCACCCTGGGCAACATAGCAGGACCTTGTCTCTAAAAAGAAAGAAAAGAAAAAATTAGCCAGGCATAGTGGCATGCACCTGTAGTCCCAGCTACTCAGGAGGCTGAGATGAGAGGATGTCTTGAGTCCAGGAGTTGGAGGCTGCAGTGAGCTGTTATTGCACCACTGCACTCCAGCATGGGTGACAAAATGAGACCTTGTCTCTTAAAAAATTTTTTAGAAAATGAATTACAAACAAAATGCCTGCTTTTCAGTTCTGTACAATGGAAGAGATAGAAAGATAAGCAAGAATCCTAAGAAATCAGTTCTAAATAGAGATAAAATCATTTCAGTTGATGTTATACACAATAATTTACAGATTCAATGAAATCCCTATTAAAATACCAGTGACATTCTTCACAGAAATAGAAAATACAATTAAAAATGTATATGGAACCACAAAAGACTCTCAGTAGCCAAAGCAATCCTAAGCAAAAAGAAAAAGCCAGAGGCATCACATTACCTGACTTGAAAATATACTGCAAAGCTACAGTAACCAAATCAGCATGGTACTGGCATAAAAACGGACACAGAGACCAATGGAACAGATAGAGAACCCAGAAATAAAATCACACCTTTACAGCCAACTCATTTTTGACAAAGGTGCCAAGAGCATACAATAGGGAAATAAATGGTGCTGGGAAAACTGGGCATCCATATGCAGAAGAATGAAACTAGGATTCCTATTTCTCACCATATGCAAAAATCAAATAAAAATGGAATAAAGACTTAAATCTAAGACCTGAAACTGTACAACTGCTAGATGAAAATGTTGGGTAAATATATCAAGACATTGATATGGATAAAAAAAATTTTTGTGTAAGACATCCAAAGCAGAGATAACCAAGGCAAAAATAGACAAATGGGATTACACCAAGCCAAAAAGCTACTGCATAGCAAGGGAAACAAGCAACATAGTGAATACACAGCCCACAGAATGGGAGACAATATTTGCAAATTACCCACTTGACAAGGGATTAATAACCAGAATATATAAGGAACTCAGACAACTTAATAGCAAATAACAAAATCCAGTTAAAAACTGGGCAAAAAATCTAAATAGACATTTCTCAAAAGAAGACATACAAATGGCCAGCAGATGTATGAAAAAATGCTCAACATTACTAGTCATCTGAGAAATGCAAATCAAAACCCCAATGAGGTGTCTCACTTCAGTTAAAATGGCTTTTATGAAAAAGAAAAATAATGACTGCTGTGGAGAAAGGGGAACCCTTATATGCTATTGGTGGGAATGTAAGTTAGTACAGCTACTATAGAAAGCAGTGTGGCGATTCCTCAAAAAACTAAAAATAGAACCACCATATGATCCAGCAATTCCACTCCTGGGTATATATCCAAAAGAAAGGAAATGAGTATATCGAAGAGATATCTGCATTCCCATGTTTATTGCAGCACCATTCACAATAACCAAAGTATGGAATCAACTTAAGTGCCTACTAAAGGATGAATGGATAAAGAAAATGTGATATATATGTATATCACCTGGTGCCCCACAGGTGTGTGTGTGTGTGTGTGTCTGAAACACACATGTACACATGCACACATACATAAACACACACGATGGAATATTATTCAGTTACAAAAACATGATATCCTGTTATTTGTAGCAACATGGTTGGAACTGGAAGTCATTCTGCTAAGTGAAATAAGCCAAGCACAGAAAGACAAATATCGCATGTTCTCACTCATACGTCAGAACCAAGTATGTGGATCTCATGGAGGTAGATAAGATTGGTGGTTAACAGAAGCTGAGAAGGGGTAGGGGAGGGGTGGATTGAAGGAGAGGTTCATTAATAGGTAGAAATGTACAGTTAGATGAAAGAAATAAGACCTAGTGTTTGATAGGCCAGTAGGGTGACTATAGTTTACTATAATCTCTTGTATATTTCAAGATAGCTAGAAGAGAATAATTTGAATGTTTCTAGCATAAAGAAAAAACAAATATTTAAGGTGGTAGAGATCCCAATGACACTGATTTGATCTTTGTAAATTATATGTATTAAATTACCACATGTACCCTGAAAATATGTACATCTATTATGTGTCAATAAAAACATAAAAATATTTCAGTTGAAAATCTGAGAAGGCCTAGAACTTGACATTTGAGTTTGGCCCGAAATATGAAATTTGATGGGTAGGAAGTGGCTGGAACCATTCTTTCAAGCAGAGAGCCAGCTTGACAGGTATGAAGGAGAGAGTCTACACTGCATTCAGGGAATGATGGAGAACTTTGGCAAAATCCAGGGTAAATGAAGGAGGACTTTATTTAGTAGGGAATGAGTCTGGAAACCTAGGTTTATTTACCCAACAGCAAACACGTCTTAGCACCTGCTAAGTGTCAGGTGTGTGCTGCCTGCTTGATCTACCTTGGTGGTCCAGGCAGTCACAGCCCCTGCTCTCAGCAAGAGCTGAGTGTCTGGAGGGGACCCTACTGTGTAGTATGTGAGCGTTTTTGAGGATGAGAGTTACAGGATCTGGCAAGTGTTTTAAGAAGAAAACTCTGGTGAGCTGTGGAGGGGAGGACTGGATAGAGGAGGTGGGGCTGAGGCTGTAAGGAGGGAAAGGAGGGCCTGAGGAGATGGGCGTGTGCAGGTGAGGAGGAGAGGGCAGAGTCCCAGATGGCACCAAGATTTATTCCAAAGGTCTGGCTCAGTCATGAGACATCTCTTTTTTATGTGGTAACTTTTTCAAGAAAAAAATGTAGGCCACAGTCTCTCATTTTCCCTTCTTCAGAATAACTCTTTAGCCTCACATAGTAAAATTAGGTATGCTTGTAATCAAAATTATCTTTTAAATAGGAGATTCTCAGCCGGGCGCGGTGGCTCACGCCTGTAATCCCAGCACTTTGGGAGGCTGAGACAGGCAGATCACAAGGTCAGGAGATCGAGACCATCCTGGTTAACATGGTGAAACTGCATCTCTACTAAAAATACAAAAAAAGCCGGGTGTGGTGGCAGACGCCTGTGGTCCCAGCTACTCGGGAGGCTGAGGCAGGAGAATGGCGTGAACCCGGGAGGCAGAGCTTGCAGTGAGCTGAGATTGTGCTACTTTACTGCAGCCTGGGTGACAGAGCGAGACTCCGTCTCAAATAAATAAATAAATAAATAATCTCTATCAGAAAAATGATGTTATGTTTTCGCCACTAAAATGTGATTGTTCAGGCGTAATTGATCATCGGCAGCCTCGAGGCAGCTCTCCTACCATTTTTTCCAAAGGTAAACTGAGCACCTACCCCGGAAGCTGCATGGTGGGACTGCCGGGTGCTTATCTCTGGGTCGGCTTGTGTGTGCTGGGGTGGAACCCTGCCTGTCTTCCTCTGTTCCACTGGGCTGGGAATGGGAGCCAGGCATTGGTCTTCCATAGCACTTTGGTTTCCTTACTGGGTAGATTTAAATTTGTGGGTCCCTCTCTTTTGGTGTGAATAGAAGGTAGAGTAAAAGTGTGTAGAACTCAGTGCATAGGGAAATGGTTGGCATTTCAACAAGAACATCTCACATATCTAAGATTTGTTTAGGTCTTCAGGCACTGATAGGAGGTTTTAATAAGATCAGTGATTTTTAGTTTAATTGGTGATTTTTGAGTACTTTCCTTGTTCCCCCGGTAGAATCCCACCTGGACCATCTTCTATAGCAGAGTAGAATCTGGAACATTTTTTCTTGGTCTGATACACTTAATGGTGGTTACACTTAATGGGGGTTAGTGTTAGTCCCCAGCACACCAGAGGGAGGACATTCCTGTCAGTAACCCTAGAGCTGTTACGTATAGGATTTGTGGGGGGTTGGGATGAGTTGAAAAAAGTACAGATAATTGCAATAACTCCTACTAGTGGAGTTGAGAATAATTGGCCTTTTATAGCTGTATGTTTTAGAAGAATTAGAATAGTCAGGTGGGCAGACCTGGAGTCAGGTGGACCTGGGTCATGGTTTTAACTAACCGTTCCATGACTTTGGACAGGTTCCTTGTCATAGATTGAATCACTGAGCCACGTTTTTCACCCTCTGTTATGGAATTCTATTCCCTGGCCCTGGCCTCACGCTCATTGGAGCACACTTCCTTGACTTTGGGCATGGCCGCATGACTTGCTTTGGCTGATGAATTATAGCTGGCTCTCTGTATCCTTGGGTTCTGCATCCCTGGATTCAATCAACCACCAATTGAAAATATTTTGGGGAAAAACAATCAAAAATAACAATACAGTGATAAAAATAATACCAATAAAACACAACAACACAACACAGATGATATGGTTAGGCTTTGTGTCTCTACCCAAATCTCAACTTCCCTAAGTATTGAGGGAGGAACCTGGTGGGAGGTGATTGGATCAGGGGGCAGTTTCGCTCCTGTTGTTCTTGTGTTAGTGAGTGAGTTATCACGAGATCTGATGGTTTAAAAATGTTTGGCAAGTTGTTCCCTCTCTCGCTCGCTCTCTTACCTGCCACCCTGTAAGATGTGCCTGCTTCCCCTTCCACCATGATTGTAAGTTTGCTGAGGCCTCTCTAGCTGTGTGGAACTGTGATTCAATTAAACCTCTTTTCTTTATAAATTCCTCAGTCTCTGGAAGTTCTTCTAGCAGTGTGAAAATGGACTAATACAGCATAGTAATGACTGTTTACATTGTATTAGGTGTTATAAGCAATGCAGAGATGATTTAAAATATATGGGAGGATGTGTGTAGGTTACATGCAAATGCTATACCATTTCATGTCAGGGACTTGAGCATCTGTAGATTTTGGTATCCGAGGGGGTCCTGGAACCAATACGCCACGGTACTGATGGACAACATTATATTGGCAAATATGATGTAAGAGGTGGCTTGATTCTCCTTGTGTGCCTGGGCTTGGGCTCAGGTGATTCAGGCTGAATAAAAATGTGCCCTGGAGTTGTTGTCCCTTTATCCAGGGCTTCACGGGGTGAAGAACAGGGGACAGACCTGAACCCACCTCAAACTGGAGCTCT